ATATATATATATATATATACTAGTAGGGTACTCACACGATGCGGCGGCACAAGATTGTTATTTATGACAAATTCTTTTTATGTGGCCATTAGTTTCCTTTCGTATTTGTTTGTTTTAACCTTTTAGCAGATTGTTTTGTGTCGGATAGTTCTTTTTGACGAATAGTTTCTAGTTAGGTACGCAGATGCGGGAGCGGAATAATTTTATATCCAATGTCATCTTGTTCCGACTTTTATTTTACAATTAGATTGAATGTAAAAGTGTATGTAACGGTTTGTAATGCGGAATCCATGAATATGTCTGATCGGCAATTAGTTTCATTTAGAACATAACGAATAGTTTATTTTTCAATGTTAGCTTCACGATTAGTTTTTTTATGACAATTGGTTTCATCAGATGATTGGTTTCGATTCAACCGACGGCTAAACTTTCTTTCAACAAAATGTGTTATTCAAAAGATATGGAATGCAACAATAAATATATTTTATCATTGGATGAGACACACTCTTTTATGAGTTTCTTTATGTTGATTAAACGTCTTATTTTATTTACTTCATTTTTTTAAACCACAACACATATATTTTAACTGTAGATTAAAAGGTATATATGTCTTGATTCTAAAAAATCATAAATAAATCAAATAAAACTTATTTATGTCCCTTCTTATTCAGCTCAATTATTTTTTTAATATTTTTTTATTGTTTTTATTTTGGACGATTCGAAAAGAAAATTAATTACTTTTTTAAAACAAAATCACTTATAGATCTCATTTTTATTTATTTGATCGTTTTTATGGCATTCATGTGCATATATATTTTCATTAATTTATCTAGTTATCATATATTTTCATTTAATTATAATTAATATCAAACACATTATGAGTTCTATATAGAAAGATAAATATTTAATTGGAGTTTTGGTATACTTTGAGTGTGTGTATAAGGATAATATTACATGATTTTAATGGTTTTTGTAAAAAGTATAATTGAATGATTATTAAAAAAATTATTCAAATAATCAAGTAAATAAATTATTATTTTCATATTTTTATAAGAAAATATTGTATATGAGTGTCCAAAACATTGATAGTTCGTTTAATAAAGAACAATAAAACCAAAATAAACATGAAATTCAACAGATTTAGTAAACCATGAACATTTTTTTAACCTAAATACAAAACAATAGAAACAAACTCGTTTTCCTTCAAACCTTCCCCTTTCCTTCAAATCTTCCTCCTTGATGTAGATTTTACTAACCTTCCATTGCAAATCACACAAAACCTTTGCACAAAAACGAAAATCTAAAAACAACAATCAAGAAGCAAAAAAAATAAAACCATAAATTTGATGTTTGCATGTTCCATCTTTCCCTTAAATTTCACACAAATGACAAGATAGATAGATAGAGGGTGAAAGAGAGAGGTGGTGGCTGTAAAACAGATGTGGCAGAGGAGCGTTTCTGTGTATGATTCATGGTGACCGATGTAGGCAAGATAGCGAAAACAATAAAGAGAAAAGAAATACATGTCAGCTGATAAATCACCAACATACATACCAACAAAAAAGTGTCGTTACCTGATAAATCACCAACCATATGTACTTTTAACCGATTCTTTTGATAGTCGTGTTTGATACAAGAGACATATTATAACAAAAGGAAATATGATAAATTGAGATTGAAACTATTTCATGAAAAAATTATAACAACCAAAAAAAGGATATTGAAACTACAAGAGTCATATTACCTTAGCATATACATTAGATGAGCTGATCTGGAGATGAAATCTTTATAAGAGTGAAATAGAAAATAATTACCTCTTAGCTCATATGTGCAGAAAAAAGAAAATAAAGAAAAAGTTAATATTTTTATAAAATATACATGTATTAGAATTACCAGTTCCAAACTAAAATAAGATCCCCATCATCCAATATTTCGTAAGCATTTTTATCCAATGAGATTTTTAATAAAAGTTCCATACGTTGAGAAGTATCCTATCCTAATTTCGAATGAATTAATAGGTGATATGTTCTTTATATTGTCAATAAACGATTTTAATCTCAATACACCAACATACAGAACCAACAAACATGTTTTTTATATTTTACAGAAAACCAAAATTGAAAATTTTGAAATAAACTTCTTGTCATTGTTTTGGTAAGAAGTGAATAATTCTCTCACCATTGAAGAAGCTAGAAGGCTATTCCAACTGCTACAAAATTTCCATCGTTTCCCCTCTGAAAAACATGGAAAAAAAAAGTAAAATCAAACATGTGAAAAAGGCTATATAAAAAATGAATCAGAGGCACATCAAGCTTACCACAGGTGAAAACAAACCTTGGCTAATTTCACCATGGCTAATTTTCCCATCGGTAATGAGAAAAAGCATAACCCAAGAACCATATTGAATATAGAATCCATTAGCCCCCAAGACTTGTTAGAGGTCTTCGTTAGCATATTGATGCATGTGGGATCGTTTTGCTTGAAGTAAATTGAAGAAAGACGAATTACATTTGAATGGAACTTGAAACCAACTTCTTATGATCTGCTCAAATTAAAAAAAAAAAAAATCAAAAACCAGCATCTGAGCTGCAAATCCCAAACCAATATCTGATATTCAAACAAAATTGGAGCAAACACCAAAACACAACCCGGAACCAAAATCAATCCATATTTGACCTTCAAACACAGATTCATATCAACCCACCTGTAGTTTTGTGGGTTTAATAAACAATCAGTTCTAAATGAAAAACCAAAATCGAAAACAATAAAGAAACCTTACATTGCTTCATTGATATGACTTTGGATATTCGAGGAATCATCATCGGTTGTAAGGATGAAGCGGCGGTGCATAAATCATCAAGCCACGGGACATTAACTATTCATGATAGTTTATGGTCCTACAGAACAGAAATAAATCATCAAGCCATATTACAATAAAATCTAGAGTTTTGGTTTGCATATAAGATATTGAAAGTTAAAAAAAAATACAAAAATTATGGAATCTTATAAAATTACCGAAAAGCATAATACATTTCAACATCCATAAGCTTTTTTTGTCCCATTTTGATAAGTTTCAATAACATGTGCTTGTCTTTCTGCACCATATTAGAATTTGTTCTATTTTAAAAATATATTTACAAAGAAATAGAACTCCAAATATACCTATTGTGAGTTGTTGTTGTTAATTATGTCTGAACCTAGATATCATAAAATAAACCAAAATCAAGAACCATAATAAACACAAAATATTAAACAAGAAGTACATGTTTCATTGTTACTACTCGTTTCTACAGCAGAAAGAGTGAGAGATGTTGGTGATTTTATGTCACCATGTTATTTTAAGTAACTGGAACTAACATGTGAGCTAAGGGGCTTCATAATTTGTATTCTATTATATGTACGGGGTTGTGCGGAGTGCACGCATGTATAAGATCGAATTAGAAGTCGGTTGGACGACTAGTCGGGGGTCCGGGGGCAGCGCCCCCGAGTCCAGGGTTTCCAAAGGGGCAGCGCCCCTTTGGCGGGTTTCCAAAGGGGTAGAGCCCCTGGCTGGGGTGTTTATGGTAAAAGTAACGAAACTCGTTAGTTTTGGTAACCCTAAATCCTCATTAAATCCGGATTAACATTACTTGCTTCCAAAGCAACTAATGACGACCCAACCTAAAAAAAACCCTAATATCGTTTATTATATAAACGACTCTTCTTTTCAGAAGAGGGTTACGATCTTAAGCTCTCGTTTTTCATCATACTTTCACATAATCCTCTAGCATTTGGCTTACGATTTCTGTGCTTGGAATCGTAAGTGTCCACTTGGATTATCCTAGGCTGAATTTCTTGTAACCCAGGCATAAGGTAGAAATATCAGTTCCGAAAGTGATATCACGATCCAAGTCGGTATCCAGATCTTCACCACAAACCCTAATATTCCCAACAAGAGAGAGGAGATTCGGTTCCATATCTATCCATGAAGTGTATATGTGAGAGAAAGAGAGAAACTATGGTCAAATCAAAAATAATTAACCCAAAACATCCATCCATATGAACTTGTGTGTTTGAAAAGCAAGTCATAATGAAAAAGCATACCTAATTATATACAAACCTTGGATTGAGGCAGACCTCAAAGACGGTGGCTGTTAAGAGTCACAATTTAGGATGAGATGGATGGGTTAGTGGCAGCAATGGAGGTGGGTTGTGATGCCGGAGAGCAACGACAGAGGCGGCATCCGCTGGTAGAAACCACTTGCAATCCTGCAATCCATCAGGAAGAAAAAAAACCTTTGAAATCGACCAATAAAACGAAAAAAAACATTAAAAATCGCTAAAATTAACCTGAAATTTCGGCAAATACTTGTAAGTATGTAGTGCTTGCCTCTTGTTTCTGCAATATATATATATATATATATATATATATATATATATATAGACACACACACACAGAGAGAGAGAGAGGGAGAGAGAGAGAGAAATCTTGAGCTATATGAAGACATGCGAAGCAGGTGAGTATGTGTACATCGAGCAGGGGAGGCAGCGACGGTCGTTGTTTAGGGTTTCCAGATCCAGGCGAGCCTAGGGATAAAGATTTTGTTGGTGAAGTGGTGGTACGGTTGTAGAGCCCTGGTGGTCCGGTGGTTTGTTGGTGTTAGGCGATGGTGCCAATGTTTGTATTTTAAGGGTTTTTCCGGAACTAGAGATATAGTGGGTTACAGAGAGAGCGTTT